TTAAAAATGACTAAATTTTTATGAATTTTGTTATATGAATAGTTTTCATGAAACCCTGGGATCTGTTGGAAAAAACAACCAAGTAACTTGTGGGTTATATTTATCACAAATTAATTTAAATTTAGGTATCATTGGAAACTAAGATACACTGGACGATTGATCTGTTCTGGTAACAGTCAGTTAAGTCAACAACCCACATAGAACTTCGTACGTACGAACGTACATCAGTTCATGGTGCCAGACCATATTAGCACACAGAGATATAATTGTTAATTCAAATCCAATAGTAGTAGCAGAGGTAGTAAGGGTATCAGCAATAATCGGAGTGATTAGGGTTCGAAGATAGTATTCAAGAAGTATAATCTAGTGAAATAAACTTAAAAAGAAAACAAGATAAAGGTAATGAAGGATTCAGAAGATTAGGATTTGAGAGAACACATTGAATGAATGCACTTGCGCCATTGCAAACGGTTTTCAGCCATGTCGTTCAAGATCTCTAACTATCGATTACTATCATCTCGCGGACTCCAACCACGTAGTCGACACCTACTAACATGAGTCAGTCCACTTGTCAGTGACTTGATGGATTTCTGCCATGTTTTAGTTTGGCCGCCCCTAACTTTCTTCCGACATACTCCTACATCGCAAAACATAGCTGGACGAGGCAGTTGGTGGTTAGACATACACAACACATGTCTCAACCACCTCAACTGATGCAGTTTCAATACTTCATCTAATAATCTGCCACTCTTACCCATTACTCGTTTCCTAACACCAGCATTGCTTACTCAGTTGTCAAAGGATACAGTCCTTGTAACAAATTCCTTAGATATGTATTAGGCGTCCATGAACCTACCACATATCAAATCCATAACGTCAAGTTGCGCGATGAACTCTTAACCAATAAAACCATTCAATCGGCATCGAATTCTAACTCCAGTCTGTCTGACCATCTAGTACTGTTGATGACAATCATTTCACTAACAACATCTGAATGTCTTTTAGTAGAGGGATATGCTATTAGTTTTATTAACTAATTAACTGAACTACCATCAGTTTAACAATACCTAACGGTGCATAAACGAATATGTTGATAAATGAAGTCGTTTAGAATATTGCACGTACGTTAATCAAATAATCCGATTGATAAAAGAATAAAGCATAAACTAACGCATCATTGAATAATTTACTAAATGAATTTCTAAAGACAGTCATAAGTATTTCATGAGTGAGTAAACAAAACGAACACATACAAACACACACGCCGACATAAATCCCCACATCAAAAGTGTACATACATAAACACGTTAATGATTCATTAAACGAAACTAAATATAAAATGATTGATGTGATAGGATTAAAAGAACAAATACTTATTGCCAACATGAATTGTTCCCTAAGATAGTTCAAACAACAAAAAACACTAAATAGATATACAAATAACTAACTATCCAATACCGATTGGAAAAAAAAATGCTTGTAACGGATAGTCGGAGAAAACTGGTGGGTGGCCTATACTCCATTGGGAGTAACAGGCGTAAGTAAGTAAGTAAGGATAGGAATATTGAGACAATCTAGAATCCGAATGTCAATAGGGCACAGAATTATTAAAACAATTTGTAGTAGAGACGACACATTTAGATCAATTGATACAGTGATATAAACAATGTCATTTAAACCCGTATACGTTTTAAACTCAACATCACCCACCCATCAATTAACTTCGATTTAATTAATGCTTACAGAAACAAGTAGAACTTAAAGTAGAATGTTTTAAATTGAAGAAATTCATCTCGGAACAAATGAGAGGATTGCGCTCAGCTATGGTATCGATCTTACGGGCAATTTAAGATTAGTTAACAAATATTACATTATAATCAAAATATAGAAGAAATACATGAATAGGTTCTGCACACAAAGAACTCATACAAAACACAGGTTGTGTAATATAGTGAATGAGAATTATATTACGGGGTTGTGAAGATTGTAAAGTTACACAGTTTTTGAAACCATGAATCGATCAATGTTAGACCACCATTAGAAACCTGGAAGCATTGGTCCTGGGTTCGAATCCTGCGAGGTGCAGTTGAACAAGAAGCACACCGAGTTAACATAAATAATTTCATACTCTTTTATTCCAATCTAACATTAAGTATACAGAAAAACATACTACATAAAGTGTAGCTTGATAATTAATTGCTAATAACGGCAAACATCAAGTCGACCTACTATCATAATAATAATTACTATTAGTAATCGTCAATCATAATCGGTGTATAAATAATATTATTATTGATTATTTACGTTTGTTGCCCCTAACGGAGCGTAGACAACCGACCAATTCTCTGTCCTGAGCTTCCCTTTCCAGCTCCGTCCAATTTTTATTCATTCTTCTCATGTTTGTCTTCATTTATCGGCGTAATGGGCTCGTCTTGTAACGCAGTTGCGTGCTTTCTGCAATGTGTGTACTATTTACTTCGAGCTCTTCCTCCTGATTTCTTGCTCCACTGGAATCTGTTTTGTTCTCTCCCACAGAAAGTTGTTGCCAATGGTGTCTGGCCAACGAATCCGAAGTATTTTGCGTAAAAAACTGTTCATAAACACTTGTATCTTCTGAACGATGGCTTTCCTAGTTCTCTAAGTTTCCGCTCCATATAGTAGAACTGTCTTGACATTTGTATTGAAAATTCAGATTCTGATGTTGGTTGACAGTTGTTTGGAGTTCCAGATATTTTTCAATTGTAGAAATGCAGCCCTTGCTTTGCCGAACTGCGCCCTCACATCTGCATCGGATCCACTTTTCTCGTCGATGATGCTTCCCAGATATGTAAAAGGTTTTAACGTCCTCCAAGGCATCCTCTTCAAGAGTGAGTTTGTTGGAGCGTGATGTGTTGTATCGTAGAATCTTTCCTTTACCTTTATGTATGTTGAGATCTGCTGCTACTCAGGCTGCTGCTACACTGGTCGTCTTCTCTTGTATTTGTTTTTGCGTGTGCGATGGAGGAGCCAGATCGTCCAGCTGCGTCCTAGCTGTCCATTAGATGTCGTGCTTCTCCCCAGAGGTTGATGTTTTCATAATCCTGTCGATCAACAGGAGAAAGAGAAAGGGTGAGAGTAAGCAACCTTGCCTCACACCGGTCTTCACCTCGAAAGAGTCTGTTAGCTGTCCATCGTGTAGGATTTTGCAGTTGAATCCATCATAAGAATTGTGTATGATGTTGACTATCTTTTCAGGGCACGCCGTGGTGTCGAAGAAGCCTCCATAGTGTTTTCCTGTCCACGCTATCAAATGCTTTCTCGTAGTCGATGAAGTTGATGTATAGTGGCGAGTTCCACCCAATTGATCATTCCACAATGATCCGTAATGTTGCCATTCGGTCATTACACGATCGATCCTTACGAAATCCAGCCTGTTGATCTCGAAGTTGGACGTCTACAAAGTCCTTCATTCTGTTTAACAACACCCTATTGAAGAATTTGCCTGGTACTGAGAGAAGAATGATTGATACCTCTGTAGTTCTCACACTTGCTTAGGTATTTTGATCAGGTATCCTTCTTTACAGTCTATTGAAAATGATAGGCAGCATGAAATTGATCACTTTGCCTAGAATAGCATAGAATAAATAGAGTTATCCTGTTGATTGTCTATTCAGAGAAAAAAAAATATATATTTATCTAACAATGAATCAATGCATGAAACAAATTGATTGCATTGAATCAAAATTAAACACAACCAGCTTATCAGTATTGGTGTGTTATCCGTGTGTATGTGTGTATGTTCATGCGTAAATGTGTATGTTTGTGCGCAATAAAATTGCGGATTTTGTTTTACTGATATCCTAACACCACCACCACCACCACTACGACTACTACTACTACTAGTATTGCTATTACAACAAAAGTATTACAGTCAAATTAGTTTTTGGTACCTAGAAAGTTTCAATAGGCAGTCTAATTTACATGATCTCAATAATCTTTACAACCACTCCCCACCCAATACTGATAAAGATAAAACATAAAAATTTCCATTAGTTTATCTGTGATCAAATGCCTGTCTATTTTCTATCATAGAAGTGGACATGTCTATCTATCTACCTATCTATCTATCTAACTATCTATGTAGTCTGTAAGTAAACAAATCATGAATATAAGTCATTAAAAAAATTGAAAGTTTCATAGAGTCTGGACATAACGAGAGTAAAGTTTTGATTCAGTGATTGAATTTACCGCCACTTTAAAGAGTTCAATGTTCAATTATTGTGTTATATATTCAACACCGGTGAATCATGAATACTGAAGTTCATTTCAAGCCTTATCCACCTCTGATGTTCAACTACCTTATACTATCGTGCTTATGATAAAGAGTTGCGGATACTTTCAGAAGCTTGAAACGAAAATGACACTCTATCATGTATTACTCACCCATTGAAATAAATAGACTTATAAAAGAATGTGTTGGATACAAAATGCATACAATTGAAAATTGAAAACTCGGAAGATAACCTCAATTTAAAAAGAAAAAAACACTTTCGTCCAAATGTGAACAATTTAATTTCAACCTAGTTCTTGAGCGTTGTAGTTAATGTTAAATATTATCGAGAACAATTATATTTACAAATATTTTAAACGATTATGACCAACAGTTTGTTTATTCAATAATTCCACATAAAAAAAATAAAATTTAAATTTTAAATTTCGCGCACAATACCGAAGGTCCTGGCTTCGAATCGTGCGGGGTGCAGGAGTCGTGGATGCGCACTGCCAAGGAGTCCCATACCAGGGTTTGAAGGCCGTCTTTCGGTGCTTCCAGGTTTCTAATGGTGGTCTAACATTGATCGATTCATGGTTTCAAAAAATGTGTAACTCAACAATCTTCACAACCCCGTAATGCAAATAATACATAATTCAAAAACACATGAACTATGAAAATCATTATTCACAATGTATGAAATATAACATGGATTGTTTAAAACAGAATCGAACAAGATTATTACACATACCTCTAAGCTAAAATAACCTCGATCAACATAATCACCAAGAAATAGATAACGTGTTGTTTCAGGAGGACCTCCAACTTCGAAAAGTTTCATTAAATCATAAAATTGACCATGTATATCTCCACAAACTGAAATAATAATAATAATAAGAAGAAGAAGAATAGAAAAAAAATTATTTTAATAAATAAAAATTAAAAAGTTACAACGTACAACTTCGCACATGAGTACATCAGTTCAGGTTGCCATACCGCATCAGCTCAGAGACGCAACTGACACTTCAAATCCCATAGTGGCAGCGATGGTAGAAGTATTAGCAGTAATCGAGAAGATAAGGGTTCGAGAATATATGATTCATGAAGTACAATTCAGTGAAACAAATTTAGAAAGAAAAAGATAGAGATGATGAGGAATTCAGAAGATTAGAATTTGAGAGAACACAATGAATGAATGCACCTGCGCCATTGCAAACGATTTTGAGCTATGTCGTTCAAGGTCTCTAACCATCGGTAACTATCATCTCGTCGACTCCAACCAACATGACTCAGTTCACTTGTCAGTGACTTCATGGATTTCTGCCATGTTTTGGTTTGGCCGCCCCTAGCTTTCTTCCAACCTACTCCTAAATCACAAAACATAGCTCGTTGAGGCAGTCCGTGGTTAGGCATACGCAACACATGTCCCAACCACCTCAACTGGTAGAGTTTCACTACTTCATTAATTGATCTGTTAAAAAAATCTAATCGATATTTATTTGAACAGTAATCCAAAAAGTTTTGTATCTAATTTTTAAATAGAATCAACACTGAAAATTCCTACTATATTATTAATAATAATAACAAACAAGTGATTTACTACTGATTTCCAATGAGCTCATGTTACCTATTTGATCTTGACATTCTCAAAATGTTTGTTTAGAAGGAAAAAAATGGAAGTTTCCAAAAATCCGATATGACGACCAAACATTGATAAATTGAAGTAATGAATCGACGATCGCTAGACAACCATTAGGAAGATGGAAGCATTAAACAGCCATTTCGTCCCAGTATGGGACTCGTTAACAGTGTGCATACAGAGCCGACTCCGCGAGCCAACACTTAACCTCTAAACCAGTACGCCGGCTTGCAACAGTTTCGATGCCTAACTTCAGTCCATTTAAGGTATCGCGTGACTTAATCTAATGTCTTCACTAGGTAACTGTCTACACCTGACAGGGTTGAACTCCAGCGGTCACGGCTTCTCACTAGAACTCTAAGAATTTTCTCAAGAAGCTGGTCACTAGTGAGCAAATTTTATGAGTTTCATTACGGAGACCGAAGGTCCCGAGTTCGAGTCCCGCCAACGGAGTTTGTGCGGATGCATACTGCTGACGAGTTCCATACTAGGACGAATTGACCGTCCAGTACTTCCACATTTTTATTGGTGGTCTAACAATAATGATCGATTCATTATGTCAATGGGACTTAACAATCTCCATAGCTTTAATAAATATTGATGTTGTCTTAAAATTGATAATACGCACGTTTCAAATTCTCTAAACCATCCAAACAAACATTTATAATTATGTGAAAGGTGATTAAAACATGCCTAATGAGAAGATAAACGTTTTAGTTCAGTAATAATCATCATCTATTGTTACAATCGTTAAAATCATTCAAATACAATTTGTTAAGAAAGAATCATCAAGTGAAAGATCTTTCACGTATTGATGATTTAAATGTAACTTTGATTTATTCAACCTTTGAATTAATAATTCAATGTGAAATTTATTTTTTTTTATTCAATAAAACATTGATTTGTACTCTTATGAAACCCATGTGATTTATTAGTTTCATTTAGGTATTTATTATAATTCACATGGATAAAATTTTGTGTAAGAGTTTCATTCAATGAAAAAAATTCACTCATCAAAAAATCATTATGACGATTAATTTAATTTGTAAATGAGTGTACTCACTCGAATGATCAGTAATGGTTCTTAGGTGTTTGACAAAAATCTTTTAGTCAATCTATCGCTACTACTTAGCAAACACGGTGAGAGACGATAGGAATCAATGTCATTCATTGTCATTTAAAATGAGGTTGGAAATTCTTAATTCACTGGGTAAACGTATTACTTACCCAGTATGAGTTATCCCAAGCAGGAAGCCAATATAAAAGCTGGTTATGAATTATCAATAACCTGAACGAATATGCGTAAAGACTGATTCAGAACTAACGAATAAAGAAAGGTTCTCAACTATAATTAGTCAACCAAAAACTTTAATCGAAATCATCTGATTGTGATGACTAGGAGCCAATTTTACCATGTCAACTAGATCCTGTTTCATCTGATTGACAGTGTGATAAGTTAAAATATAAAAGTTGATAGTTTTATTTCTGTAATGTTATATTCACAGTCAGTAAGTACTTATTTCTTCGGCAATACGTTCATTTGAAGGCAGATTCAGAAAGAACGACCCACGAGTAAATTACTAACCGTAAGACCGCTTCAATTCTATTGATTAATTGCATTGTACCAGTGAAATATATTAACTTTTTACAGACGCTTTACTCAAATACTACAGGTAGAGTAAGTGTTTATGGCGAACTGTCATTAGCATCGATAACTTCATCGTCTGACTTTTCAAAAGTTGACATTCTAAAAGGAGATTCACATGTCGATTTAGAATATGCCGATGACGCAGTTCTACTTAATGAAGACGCCGACAAAATGCAGAGTCTCCTGACTACCATAAGCAACACTGCAAGCATAATCGGGATGTGGTTCCCTCCTCCCCGAAATGCAAAATAATGTTTCAAAAATGGCTTGCATCGGCACCTGAACTTGTGATGAGGAGTGAAACAGTTGAGCGTGTCGACCGTGTCACTTATCTTAGGAGTCTCATCAGTGCTAATGGCCTGGTGACTGACGAAATCGCAGCACGAATGTAGGAGGCTCGATTAGCTTTTGCAGACCCGCGTCACTTATGGTGTAAGCGAGACAGCCGTCTGCTAACCAAAGAACGTGTGTACTGAACAGCAGTTCAAACCGTCCTACTGTACTGGTGTGAAAGATGGCCACTTAGAAGTGAGGATATTCGTAGGTTATTGGTTTCCGATCATAGGTGTCTTCGAAGCATTGCTCGTATATCCTGGAACAGCCGAGTAAGCAGTGCTGTCGTCAGGAAACGAGTACTAGGTAGGGATGGCAGATCAATTGGTGAAGTAGTGAAAAGTCATCAGTTGATGTGGTTGAAATATATGTTACGTGTGTCCAACCATCGACTACCTCGACCAGAGATGTTTTGTTGTGTAAGAGTAGGTTGGATGAAAGCTAGGGGCGGCCAAAATAAAACATGACACAAATCCATGAAGTCACAGACAAGTGGATTGAGTCATGTTGGTGGTTGTCGACTACCTGGTCAGAGTCCGCGAGATGACAGTAATCAATGGTTAGAGACTTTGAATAACATGGCTTAAAATCGTCCGCAATGGCTCAGGTGCATCCATTTTATGCCTTCCCTCAAATTCTAATCTCCTGAATTCCTCATCACCTCTACCTTTATCTTCTCAAATTTATTTCACTGCATCATACTTCTTGAATAATGTCTTCAAATCCCAATCTTCTCTATTACCGCTAATACTTCTACTATCTGTACCACTAAGGGATTTGAATTGACGATTCGATTTCTTTTCGGTAATATGGTATGGCAGCAACTTGAGCAGATGTATGTCTGTATGAATTTCTACGTTTTAGCTGGCTGAAAGACTTAAAGACAGTTTACACTTTCATTAAAGCATAATAAAAGAGGACGATGTAGTATACATACAATACAGTCAAAAGGCTTTTTACTTAACGGTTAATAAGTTATGAACGCCTCAAGTTTCATATCTATGAATCATCATTTATTCTAATTATAGTTTTCATCATGAGCAAAAGCGTTGTCATACTATAATAGGATTCCGCTCAACAATTTGCATTTCTACATTCCCAGCACAAAGGGATCGATCTCATGACTTTTCACGTTATCTCAGAGAACGCTTAACTAAGTTAGCTGAGATTAACTAACTAATGCATATTGTGAGAAATTCTTCCCATATCACAATGGTAAGCGTCTTACACTTGACATGTTTTAAACTCCATTAGTTACGGACTCCAACTAGAACCTTGGAAATTACTTCTAAAAATCAGTCATCAAAAAAGCACATAATTAGTATTATTTAGTGTAAGACATTATAGAGATAGTTGAAACTTTTTTTTGCATAATTTACGCTATAAATTGAGTTTAGTTGAATAAAAAGCCTCTATCCCTGCTTCATATCAATGATAATCGATTGTTTATATTAGATTTTTCTTTAGTTTTGAAATATTTATTCGACCTATATATAACCTATATACATAACCTATACATATACATCTATATATATATATATATATATATATATATATAACCTATATACATAAAGGAAAAAGCGAAATTCTCCGATGCAACACAACATGCACAAACCAAATCACTCTTGGTGGAGGACATGAACACCCTTACATATCTGGGCAGCATCATCGACAATCAAGGTGGATCAAATGCAGATGTGAAAGGCCGAATTGGCAAAGCAAGGGCTACATTTCTACAGTTGAAAAATATCTGCCACTACAAACAACTCCCAACAAAAACCAAAATCATGATTTTCAATACAAATGTCAAGACAGTTCTACTGTATGGAGCAGAAACTTGGAGAACTACCAAAGCCATCATCCAGAAGATACAAGTGTTTATTAACAGTTGTCTACGCAAAATACTTCGTATTCGTTGGCCAGACACTATCAGCAACAATGAACTGTGGGAGAGAACAAACCAGATTCCTACAGCGGAGGAGGAAATCAGGAAGAAGCGGTGGAAGTGGATCAGTCAGTCAGATGCAACGTAGAACTTTGTACATAAGTACATCAGTTCATGTTGCCATACCACATCAGCACAGAGAAGTAATCGTCAATTCAAATCCAATAGTAGAAGAGGTAGTAAGGGAATTAGAAATAATCGGAGAGGTTAGGATTAGAAGATACTATTCAAGAAGTATGATTCAGTGAGAAAAGTTTAGAGAGTCGAAACTAGAGGGGTTGAAGAATCCAGAAGACTAGCATTTGAGGGAACATAGAGAATAAATGCACCGGCGCCATTGCGAACGATTCTGAGCCATGTCATTCAAGGTCTCTAACCATCGATTATTATCATCTCGCGGACCCCAACCAGGTAGTCGACAATTACCGACATGGCTCAGTCCACTAGTCAATGACTTCATGGATTTCTGCCATGTTTTGGTTTGGCCGCCCCTAGCTTTCTTCCAACCTATTCCCACACTACAAAACAAGGCTCGACGAGGCAGCCGGTGGTTGGGCATACGCAACACATGTCCCAACCACCTCAACTGGTGAAGTTTCAATACTTCATCGATTGATCTGCCATTCTTACCTAGTACCCGATTCCTAATAACAGCGTTGCTCACTCGGGTGTCCCACGATATACGAGCAATGCTTCGAAGACACCTATGATCGAAAACCAGTAACCTACGAATATCTTCTACTCTCATTGGCCATGTTTCACAGCCATAAAGTAAGACGGAGCGAACTACTGCGCAGTACACTCGTCCTTTAGTCAGCAAACGGATATCTCGCCTACGCCATAAGTGACGCAGGTTGGCAAAAGCCAATCGAGCCTTCTGTATCCGAGCTGAGATTTCGTCTGTCACCAGGCCATCGGCACTGATGAGACTCCCAAGATAAGTGAAGCTGTCTACACGTTCGACTACTTCACTCCCTATCACTAGTTCAGGTGCCGATGCAACCCAGTCTTGAAGCAACATTTTGCATTTCGAGGGGGAAAACCGCATCCCGAACATGCTTGCATTGTTGCTTAGGGTAGTCAGAAGACTCTGCATTTTGTCAGCGTCTTCACCAAGTAGGACTATGTCATCGGCATATTCTAAGTCAATAAGCGAGCCACCTGGTAGAAGGTCTACTCCTGAAAATTCAGACGAGGATAATGTTAACTCTAGGAGCATGTCTATGATAAAATTAAACAAGAATGGAGAAAGTGGACATCCCTGACGGACACCACTTGAAGTAGAGAATTCCGGTGACAGTTCGCCATAAGCCCTCACCCGACCAGTGGTGTTCGAGTAAATGGCTTGTATAAGGTTAATGTACTTCTTTGGTACACCTTTCAATGACAGACACTGCCACAGAACCTCACGATCAACAGAGTCAAATGCCGCCTTAAGGTCCAGGAAAACAACTATTGTAGGACGCCTAAATGTGTGTCTATGTTCCAGGACCTGTCTGAGTGTGAAGACGTGGTCTATACAGCCACGTCCAGGTCGAAAACCAGCCTGGTTTTCTCTAGTCTGCTCTTCACGAGCTTTCGTTAAGCGTCGAAGTATTATTGAGGCCAATATTTTAGATACTATATTAGTTAGACTTATTCCCCTGTGATTGTCACAAGAAGACTTCTGTCCTTTCTTATAGATTGGGACAATCAAGGATTGAGACCAGTCGGATGGGATTACGTCCAGTTCCCAGATTCTACCTAAGATCTCAGTCAATCTAGCTGCTAAAACTGGACCACCATCCTTAAATATCTCAGGGGTCAGTCTATCAGGACCTGCAGCTCGTCCTCGTTTCAGATTTCCTAACGCTTTCTCAACTTCACAAATACTAGGGGGACTTACGTCGATTTGCCATTCAGGATGACTGGAGATCGTGGGTAACCGAAGAGTGGCTCGTGGCCAGTTGAACTGATCTCTAAAGTGTTCTGCCCATCGATCCAGTCTCCTGGATTGAGAATAAATGAGAGTCCCGTCATTTTCCGAGATAGTCTCACTTACACTAGGATTCCTAATACCAGTTTCCTTGATAAGTCGGAAAAGTTGTCTACTGTTGCCTATCGCCGCTGCCTTTTCCATCGCTTTTGCTTTCGCCACCCACCACTGCTCGCGGTCGTTACGCAGACTTTTTATAAGTCTGCGCCTAAGCTGACTACGCTCTTCACCGAACTGCATCACGAGACAAACCCTTACATGGAACCCTCAAGGCAAAAGGAAAAGAGGAAGGCCAAGGAACACATTACGCCGAGAAATAGAGAAAGACATGAGTTGAATGAACAAACATTGGACAGAACTGGAAAGGGAAGCCCAGGACAGAGTTGGTTGGAGAAAACTGGTCGGCGGCCTATGCTCCATTGGGGGGTAACAGGCGTAAGCAAGTAAGTATATATAACTTTTACTATTAACAGAATTCTGTTAGTCATTCAAAACTCCAATGAATGAACAGCATAGTTTACACATACAACAACTATTTCTTTCTTGTCAACATACATCAATTCGTTTATCATGATTCTTGTACATCATACAACTAGCTAGCTGCTAACTTCCATTGGAGTTTCCTCCACTACTATCGATTGACTGATGGGTAAAAAGCATCAGTCATCTAATAGATAAGAACTCGTTTATTCACAACAAACAGTCGACAAAAAAAACAATTCTTCTGATTACAAATTAGATTAGTTTCAGTTATGGCTATTCAAGTTGTTGTTGTTGTTTGATTCTTTTTTCCCTCATACTAACTAACAAAACAAAACAAAATAAACACTGTTCATTCGTTTGTATTTGAAAAAAACATTCAAGAGAGGCATTTTTAATATATGTTTCTTTCTTCCTGTTGGTTAGCTACAATCAAAAACACGTGATCGATTGCTTGTCTTATCGATTCACTAAACTAGTTTAGCTGTTAAAAATAGGTTGGAATTATTATTTTTTTCCTTTTTTGCCTTTCGAAACAACAAGATACATAATAAATCACTAATTTTCGAATAGTGAGTTATTTTTATTTATTGCATTCTATTTTTTCAACGAATCAATCGATCGATCGATCGGTCGATTTAGTTAGTTAGTTAGGTTGATCAGGAAATTGTTATGATAAGAAAATATCGAAAATATATAGGATATAATCATCATCATCATTTAAAAGGTTGGAAAAGAAAAAAAAAAGTAGAAAAAGGCGAAGGTGTGGCAAAATGAAGAAGTAAAGAAAAGAAGAGGAGATATACAATGATGAGTGTACAGAAGAATGAAAGAACTATTAATCCCTCTACATGTATGTTATTCATTCATTAATGTATGACCACAACAACTTATCTTATGAATGGTGTAAATAAAGTATAGAGATTAGTAAAAGCTTAGATGGATGATTTTATTGGAGTTTTGTCCTTTGAGTTGGTGGGTGTTTTTTGTGACACTTTCATTGTCCATTCGGGTAGCATGAACATCAAGTAGAAGTGAGCTATCTTCATTTCACTATATAAAACTACTAATAGACGGTCCTATCAATCTTGAATCAGGTCTACCATTGATCGATCAATTTTTTTTGGCATAAAGAAAGCATTTGACTAAAATTAAATCTAAACATTTTTATTCTGTCGACGAGAATGATAAATTGTGTACTCTTCTAAGTCACACCACAGTCATGTACATACAGGTTTATACAGAGTCGTCATATAGAGAGTGATGACAACTACCACAAACTGAATAAAGATGTGAGACCAACTCGTTTGCAAACTAACATTGAATGACGGCGTGTTATGAAGTGTACACCACTGAAGTCATTTCGATACCTGGAGGACTATTAAAAGGATATTTTTTTTATTGGAGAGCTATGATTTTTAGAATTACCCAAAACTAGTCAAAGTACGGTAGATACTCAGCGATAACACTGACTAAGAATTACTTTATATGGTAAATTAGTTACTACTTGAAAATACAGACCTGAAGTTCAGGAGTTTCAATCCCATGTGAGGCCGTAGGTGCGGACTAACGAGGTGTAGCAAACTGGAGCATAAAAATTGTTTACCGCTGTCTGACTGTCACTTCATAATGAAGAATATCATCAAAATCATAAGAACAGTTAATTTTTTATTAATGAAGCGAATTTGTGGAGATTGTACCATTTTCATTGTTGAAATCATGAACTGATCTTAGCTAGACCATCATTAGTGTGAAACTCTCCAGCAGTGATTATCCACAATTATTCACAATCATATTTCAGATCTTTGGTTTCGCGCGCGAACCCCCTAACGTCTAGACCACTGAGTCGGCATCCAGTAACCTGTGCTCACTAGTGATTAGCTTCGTGAGGAATCTTCTCCGAGTTCTAGTGGGAAGACGTGACCAGTGAAGTTCAACCTGTTCGGGTGTAGACAGTAACTACTACCGAAGACTGTGTATGAGGTTGCGCAACTCCGTGAATATGATCAAGTTAGACATTAACACCGTTAGATACCGGCTCAGTGGTCTATCGGTTAGGGCGTTCGCGCACAATACCGAAGGTCCTGGGTTCGAATCCTGCGGGGTGCAGGAGTCGTGGATGCGCACTGCTGAGGAGTCCCATACCAGGACGAAACGACCGTCTTTCAGTGCTTCCAGGTTTCTAATGGTGGTCTAAAATTGATATATTCATGGTTTCAAAAAATAACGTTAATATCTAACTCCAATCAATCCATGATGTTGCGCGACCTTCATCCAGTGTAGCTCAGTCCTTGTCGGGTAGGAGACAATTATAGGCCTCAGGCAGTGAACGATGGTCCTGGGTTTGATCCCGTGTACTGGAGTCGCGGATGCGCACTGCTGAGTAGTCCCATACTAGGATGAAACAGCTGTCCAGTGCCTTGAGGCTTTTAGTGGTGGTCTAGCCGACATCAGTTTGTGATTTCAATTATGCAAAGTCATCTTTTTGTTCAAAATTAATATAAACTAGACTCATAATTCAGTAAAAAGTCAATGATAAAAATATTATTTATCTACGATGGAATAATATGTTGAAAATATTCATCAAAAATTCACAATCCATTGTTATGATAATCGAAATGTTGACAATGTTACATTTGCTAATATAGCATTAGACCAAACAATAATACAACCACAACTAAGACAGTATATCCCACAATCAGATGATAATGTAGTGTTTGTCAGACCATTTAAAAACACTTCAAAATATTATTGTGAAGAACGGAATAGTTTAAACGAAAAGAAAGACAAAACAAGCAAACATTTAACTAACTTGTAATTGGAGCCTCTAATTCAAGCATAGTTTTTTCAGATTTTAATATAGCTGAAGCATCCGTAATAATTCTTAATATTGCTTCTTCTGTTAATCGACCTTCAGCAATTAAATGTGGTCCAATAATATCCAATTGTGGACGACCTTTAGAATCGAACACTGTGCTGGAAGGCATTAATTTACTAGGAGGAGGAGGTACACCTAAACGTATTCAAAAAGAAAATGATCATTGCAATTTTTTAAAAAGTTCAGATGTAAAAAAAACTACACGATCCGTTCAGAACTAGTCATACAATCATGACATATATATATATATAAAATTGTGTAAAAGGTAGTGACCAATCATACAATCTGTTGGGGATGTTAGATCCCCATAATTCGATTGATAAATGCCTTATTTTGGTTTTCATGTTAGCCAGCATGGGATGATCAGTTGACCTTTAGATTTCATTTCCCACCAGGAAAATCCATGGCTGTGATTGGCTGATGTGTATTTTAGTATGCTATTTTTGTGACTGTCTCAAGGACGTTCCTATGTTGTATAAATAAACGAGAGTTGTATGCTTGATTGTACTGTGATTGTTGGGTGCTTCTAGAATGTACTTTCTACGCTTACAAAGCCCTTTTACTTCAGCTTGGGATTCAAGGTAGCCTATCTGGACCCTGGTAAAATTCTCGTTCGCGTTTATCGACTAAGGTAAACTCGTAATAGCCTCAAGCATATTAAGTGACGAACCCTACACAATCTGTCACCATGGGTTGCCATTAACTGTAAGACCAATGTAAATTATGACGTATTGAACAACTATAGTACGATACTTTTCAGCAGTGCACAAACACCAAAGTGTCAAGGAGCAAAGCCGGAACTTCCATTGAGCGCCTAACCATTAGAGAACCTAATTGAAATACAGTGATCAATATCTTCAATTTCAGTTAATGTACAAACAATAGTAACAACCATTCAATGCCATTACTCATGGATAAAACTGTCTAACTCTCAATGTTTTTTGAACTTCAATAATCACGAAATAATAAATACGGTTTCAAAGATTATTTTCAAAAAAAAGAAGCCATCAATCAACACATGATTAACATTAAACTACTAAGAGATTGCTAAAGATAATTAAAATTGAAATTAGACGAAACCTGAAAGTTATGTGTGTTTCATCCTGAGCACAGCCCATCAGAGTAGATTGATAAGAAGTGAAAAAAAAGAGATCTATTAAATTATTCTTACCACAGTAAATATTAATTCATCAAGAATAATATCTTTAAAATTAGATTATTTTCCAGAAAGCTTTTATTAAATTTCTAAATCACCAAACTCTATTCATGTTGATAAATGTAGACTACTTAGTCGGGGTCTGCGAGATGATAGTAATCCATGGTTAGAGACCTTGAAAATGACATGGCACAGATACATTCATTCTTTATGTTCTCTCAAATTCTAATCTTCTGAATTCCTCATCACCTTTATCTTTCCCTCTTTAAATTTATTTCAGTAGATTCTACGTCTTAAATCATATCTTCTAACCCTAATCTTCTTCATTACCGCTAATCCTATTACTACTATGGGATTCGAAGTGAAAATTGCGTCTCTGTACTAATGTGATATGGCTACTTGAACTGATGTACGTATGTACGTACGAAGTTCTACATTGTAAGTAGTGACTGATTGAATGAAGAACGCCTCACAGACGACATCCATACACCGTAGACCTAAATAGATAATAACTATTTAAACGTTAAACTCGATGAACTCTTAAGTAGAAGAAAAGAAAAACTCCTTCAATATTATTTTCTTCAACAACACAGTCAATTTTTCAATACAAGATTTATTCACTGTGTGTTCGCGGAAAAATACAACAATTTTATCCAGAGAGAGAGAGTAGAAGAGAAAAGGAAGGAAACCAATTTAACCATTTCATGAAGTTCTATCGTTTAATTTTTTTTTGTCCCTAATAAAACATACTAAGAAAATTGGCATAAAAAAAAACTTTTTTTCTCTCAAGACATAAAAAAACAAACACAACCAATTTCCCCTAACTATTCAACAATCGCCATGTATCTGTCTGATTGTCTTTTTAACAGTAAAATAGAAAATTGCTCTTAATAATTATAATGTGATCAGTTTTGGAAAAAAAAAATTTTTTTCTCTGGTGGTTTGAAATAGCAGCAGCAACAACTACAACAGCATAAAAAAAAACAGAACTTATCGATCGATCGCAGAAAATAGAAGAATATTAGGGGACATGAATGTATGTACATATATGTAGATATCGATAAATATATAATTCCTAATCGAGGCTTTATGAACATGGTTGACAATTTCTGTTAGCTATGTCATTTTTTTTTCCTTTCTTTCCCCATTTTTTTTCCTAATCGTTACATCATTTCATATTTAGGCCATGTTTACCCAGGGTGAAATAAGTATAAGGCAGAGAAAGTAGAAAAAAAAATAGACAAGTACAAAAAATAATAATAATAATAATGTGAATTATTAGGAAAGGTTGAATAGGTATTGCATGTTTCAGGTAATAAAATGAAGCCGTTCATTACATGTGACATATATATATATATATACATGTATATGCTTATATATATACATGCATGCATGCGTAAGTACATGCAATGAGGAGATGAAAACAAGTTATCATTTAAAAAAAGAATAACAAGATCATATTCATACGAAATAATAATAATAATAATATAGAACAAGATTAAAATCAAAAACTGATGATATGTGGTTCTATTATAAGAAAAAATGGAATAAAATGCTTGTTCTCCTCTCTATATAACCATATAATTACAATTCACTAATAGTGTTTTTTATTTCTTTCTGCTTACAGTAATCCAGTGACAAGAACCAGTAAGAGAACTAGTCTAATGAATTGAGTGATTATAAAATAGTGTTATGTTGGTAGTAGTAGTAGTAGTGTGGTGTGAGCTACTTATAAGTAGTATATGACGTCAGTGTCAACGCAATGTCTGGCAGCAGCAGATGTGGAGGAAGATCAAGAGAGGAAGAGTGGGGGAACACAATGGAATTTGTATGAAACGCATGAATAGTGACCATAATGGATTGATGTTTTGCAACAGGAATAGTCCAGTTCGATATGATGAACTGATATTTTGCAAATTAACGATTTACGATATGGTTTTCCGATTTTACTGAGTAACTCTGTAATTTTCGTTAAGTACAATTCGGTTGCCCCACCTGGGTTCTCGTTCACTACAGTAGTAGTGGTAGTGTTTAGCTCAATAGTTAAAGCAGTCAACTTTTAGTCAGTCAATTTGAATCTTGCTCGATTTACAATGATTTTGGTATTGCTCACTAGAAGTCACTTCACACTGATTCACATACTCTCAAATGCGATTGCACGAATATATGTATGCTTCATAAATGAGTTGAAAAATAATTTCAGTCAGTCAGTCAGAGAAAATTAGGGTTCAAAGATATTATTCAAGAAGTTTCATTCAGTGAAATAAGTTTGAAAAGAGAAACATAAAGGTGATGAGAAATTCAAAAGATTAGGATTTCATAGAATACATAGAGTGAATGAACCTATGCCATTTACAAATGATTTCGATTCATATCCTTCAAGATCTCTAACCATCGGTTACTACCGTCTCATAGAAGCCGACCAGGTAGTCTACATCTACCAAAATGACTCAGTCCACTTGGTTCCGCAGCCCCTAGCTTTCTTCCAATGTATGGCTACATCGTAAAGCATAGCTCGACGAGGCAGTCCATGGTTGGGCATACGCAACACATGTCCCAACCACCTCAACTGATGTAGTTTCAATGCTTCACCTATTAATCTGCCCTCCTTACCTAGTACCTGTTTCCTAACTATAGCATTGCTTACTCGGTTGCCTCAGGATACACAAAAAATGCTTAGGAGACATCTATAATCGAATACTAATAACCTACGAATAAATAAATTACTGAGAACACAACAACAGAATGAATATAATGTGATAAATGCGAGTTGACAGTGTCTCACACATTCGAAAAAATAATCCACAGTATGCTTCGTAATGGTTTAGAGACCATGATTTAATAATTCAAAAAGTGCAATTTTATTTTGTCTGTAGTATTATACAACTTTCAACCTACTGTGGGAGAGGAGGAAATCAGGAAAAAGCGCTGGAAGTGAATAGAACACACATTGTGAAAAGCACCCAACTGAGTCACAACACAAGCCCTCACTTGGAACCCTAGAGGTCGAACGAAAGGAGGAAGGTCAAGGAACACATCGCGCCGAGAAATGGAGACAAACAGAAGAAGAATGAGCGAAAATTGGACAGAACTGGAAAGGGAGGCCCAGGATACAGTAGGTTGAAAAAATGATGATCGGTGGGGTAACAGGCGTAAGTAAGTAAATTACACAAGTTGAAAAGATATGTCAGTTACTATTCTCTGATAGTTTATGCCGAACTAACGAGATTACTCGAAAAATGAATCAGTCAGTTATACGCAACGTAGAACACACACATACACCCACATCTACATTAGATCAAGATGTTACATTACATTATCGAGGGAAATACCAGAACAGTAAAGGTAGTAATAGTACCAGTAACAGTAAAAAAGATTAAATATAAAAGCCAAGATTTAACCAGAATGAGTTTGTGTATTACAAAAAAAAACAGTTAATATAGTTTTGAAACTCAGAATGTAAGAGAATGAATGAAAGAGTGAATGAATTTGTCTCACTGTGACCGATTGTCAGCTATGTTAACCAACCAACGACTACAAACCTTGATTACAACAGTCGAGCTGACTCAAACCAAGTTATATGAACACAGTAATAGAGCATAATCCAACTGTTAATGATATCATGGATTGATAGTTTGATTGCGCTTAATTTTCTTTCAATCCACTATCATACACCAGTTAACATTGTATATTGAAATATACAGTGGTAAGAACATACATAATCCATGTTCTTATGATATAAAATGGAAGTTTCAATTAATTGGTAAAAGAATTACACACAGATATTGCATGACTCTTAAACGGTTTGACCTCTCTATCTCTTGAAAGAATGAGGTCATGACCAATATTAGAAAAATATTAAAATAATACATATTGGAATAAATAAAAGTTAACAGGAAGAATTTCAGATAGAGAAGAGTCATTAAGAATAAAAAAAGATAGTAAGTAATAGCCGTAGAGGTTAGTAAACCGTCATATG